TGTTGTGTTTATAACTGCAAAACCAATCACCACTAAAACTTTTCTAGCAATGAAGTCCATGGAAGGTTTAGAGGTGGTCCAGTGCAGATGGCGTCAGAAGACTCTGGTCTCACTGCCCACTCCTCGTTTATCAGTCCCTCTATATAAAAATCATCTACTTTCCATCGCCAGTATTACTGAGAGCTTGATTCTGAAAGATCCACCTAACCATTGGTGGTGGGATGCCTTTAGCCTGGCAGTTGAAATCCACCTGGGTGCCCACAAGAACTTCCTTCACAGGCTCCATTTGGGTCACAAATGTGGGTCACTCTAGAAAGCACACCCAGAGGTTAACAAAAAAATCACCATCCGAAAGGCTGCAGTTAGGGAACACTACAGTATGAAATCAGGGTATCGTGCTGGAATAGGTTGAGGGGGTGTCCAGTGAAGATGGTAGGAGAGGGATCTGGGCTAGTTTCCTTACTTTTTTTTCAATGATTCCTTTGCTTCTTGATTCTCAGGAGACTAACCGCCAGGCAAGGCCTAGTTTTACTGCAAGTGGGAGAATGTAGGAGGTTGCCTAGCAACAGATCCAGAACATGGGGGGGGAGGGGATTTCATACTACAGTTCCACACTTTCAGGAGGATTCTGGTACCCTGTTTTCCTGAAAATACAACTGAATCTGACTTTTCGGGATGCTGGTAATATAAGCCCGACCCCCAAAATAAGCCCCCGTGAAGTAAAACCCCACTCTCCACCCTTGTGCAGCAACCAGAAGAAGATGACATGACTGTATTTGAATAAATGTAGATTGTTGTACACACACAGAAAAATAAAGCATCTCCTGAAAATAAGCCCTAATGTGTTTTTGGAGCAAAAATTAATATAAGATCCTGCTTATTTTTGGGGAAACCCAGTAGAATCAAATAGTAACTTTCTCAAGCTCTGGCCAGTTCGGACTTGTTTGTACACCTAGCCCAGTACTTCCTGAACTGCAGGGGTGATAAATGTATTTATTTTAAATACTCCAAAATGAATAAGCATTGAGCAATATTAAAGACACATATATCACATATTTAAATGGGTGAAAATGCCCCCTTTCTCTGGGGGAAACCAGGATATTCTACTTTGTAAGGCCCTATAGATGTGTGCTAGGGAAATGGACTGAGACTGTGGCTCTTGACTCTCACATGGTTCATATAGAGTTCTCAGTCCTGGAATTCCAATCCATATTGGGATATCCAGGTCTGTCTGCAACGTGGTCTACACTGTGCTCAACAGGGCCCTTTGACAACTGCGGAGTCCCTAACAGAATGCCACTTACCGATCACACGGATTCTAATCTGGGCTCTAGCAGTAGCTCCAGATTGATCAAATTGCCCTGCGCATGTGAAGATTCCTCCCAGATTTGGGTCACAGAGGGTCATCTCCAGCCCCTTGGACAGTTCATCAACAGCTTTCTCGTTGTAGGGCTCTGAATCAGCATCAATTTCATTGTCATTGGGGTCAAGCCACGTCAATGTAGCTTCCCCACCATTTCTCACTGTTTGACATAAGAGTTTAAATCATGCACACTTATAATTGCAGGTGTCTCATTTGGCAACAGGAAAGAAGGAAAGGGGGAGAAGTAAGATTGAAGATAGAAAAGACAGACAGACAGACAGATAAATAAAAGAAATCAAGAGATAGAAAAAGGAACAATTATCAGAAGGACAATATGCGAGTGCAAATTGATATGAAAACAAGAGGAAATTGATGTAAGACTGTAAAACTGAGAAATCGAAATTAAAAGAACCATCCACCTTGTAGTCAACCAACCCCACCTGCAAAATATATATCTTGCTACTCTGCTCTACCCACAAGAGCAAAGCTAGACAGCTGGCTCCTGCTTTTAGGTATGCTTGTAATAATGAGCATAATAATGACGATTATGATAATATTTACTTGCCATTTGTCAGGTCGATTCCAACTTCATAAGGGCCCTTTCTAGGGTTTTCTAGGCACAGAACACTCAAAAGACATTCCCCATTCCCTTCTTCTGAGGGCAATTTTGGACTGTGCAGCTTGCCCAAGACTACATAAGCTGGTTCAACCTCTAGCGTGATTGCCAGGTAACTAACTCACTCATCTCTACACGTTCAATTATCTGCCTTTACCTTTGCAGAGAAAATATGACTTCTTGCCCAATTCCACATCCCCCGTGCTTGGAATAATCTCCAAATCTTCTCTGGAACAGCGGGCGGTCTCTAGGAGAAAGAAGAAAGACCTGTTGGAAAGTTCAGCTCTCATCAAAAAGTAGTCTTTTCCTCTGACATCATCACAGCTCACCCAAAATGAGAAATCTTCTCAGCAATTACAATAGTTTATAAGGGAAAGAGCAAGTGCAGTGGTTCCTACTCTTGGGGGCACAGATGTTCTTGGACTACAGCTCCCAGAAATCCGAGCCAATGCAGCTTGGCGTGAAGGTTTCTGGGAGTTTTAGTCCAAAAACATCTGGAGACCCAAGCCTGGGATCCACTGAGCTGCAGCATAGCTGAAGGATTGGATCATTTGAGAAGCCTTCCATCTTGACGTGGGCAAGCTTGTGAGCTACCTGATTTCAAAATCTGAGGTCGCAATTAGCGTCTCTAACAATGCGATCCTCTCGCTACTAGCCTGGCACCATAGATGGCTTGAGGTGGCACTTATGTCAGCAACATAAAGTCTATATGGGATCCCATGGAAGAAGCATTAGAAAACTGGACCAAGCTGTTCCTATTCAAAAGCGTTGTCTGGTCAGCTTAATTTGTGCAATCGTCACCTTCAGTTAGAAGAAACAGACACTGCATTGTTCCACGAATCTTCTCAGTTCCTCGTTTTAGCAGCAGCAAGAGAAGGAAAGTTACTAGAAGTAAACTCAGCATTTCCATTTCCAAGTTACAGTACATGAGCACATCAAACAGAACAATGATGTAACCTCAAAACAAAGCTAAGCCACACAATTAAACAGCAGGTTAAAAGAGAACTTATTCATAAACAGCAAGAAGAAAAAAACAAACTCCTTCTAGAATCAAACCACATTTCCACGCCCCCACCTGGAAACAGGCAGTGAAAGACCCCAAATAACTGAGCAGATATATACTACATTTCCGTTTTTCTCCAAAATTTATTATTATTAAAAAACCCCAGATCTATAACCATTTGTAACAAGCAAAAATACTGTCACTTTGTTAACTAATTAACTATTAGGAGAGGAGGCAGAGAAATTATTTGCAAGGCACATAGAAATCTTATGAGTCATCATGAGCAAGATTTATTCTGCTATCTATTGGAGTGAGAAAGTAAGAAACGGAGCAGATTGCAAAATTTTGTTGCAGTTCCCACTGGATGTCTTACATTGGCCTCCTCCAACCTGATGCCTTTTGAGATCTTGCAGATCTCCCATCATCCCCACCATTGCTTCCCTCTCACCATCCGGAGCAGCTCCCTTCTTATTTCAACCTCCCATCCGCCTCGGTACCCCTTTGGCAAGAAATAAGGGGGAGAAGGGGGTTGGAGCAGGAAACTATACTGGGTGGGGAGGGGGAAAAGGAGAAAAGAAAAGCTTTATAAGCATGACCTGTCAGAAAAGGGGAAGGGAGCTGTCACTTGTGCATCTGTTTGTCTATGCATTTTCAAGTTGAAATTTCCTAGATTTTTCTCCATTACTTTGATGGCTAGAGATTTTGTAGCCCTGCATACAAATATGGATGTGGAAATATCGGAGTCAATTTTATCACATTCCACAGATCCCACATTCCTTTTAATCATCATCAACCTCTTAAAACTGCAGAGATGGATCATCGAGTCCAGCCCCTGTCAAGGAGGCACAGCGGGGAATTGAACTCCCAACAGACCTAAACCACAGTGCTATCCAGCAATTCTTCCTGCATTGAAATCTGTCTTTTTTACACATTTCTGTGGGGTTTTTTTACACATTTTTTCATGTGCATATATTTCCTAATCATGTTTTCACCTCCTATAACTAACCCATGTTTGTGCAATTTCTTCCAATGGTATGCATTTTTCCTGTTCATATTTTAAAATGAGTATGTTGTTTTGCATGCATTCTTTATGAAACACCCATGAACTCAAGATGAGGACCATTGTTTTTCTAACACAGTGCAGGAGGTGTAAGAAGGCTACTCTTGTCAGGACAATGGAGTACAACAAAATTCTTTCTCTTCTAAACATATAATACTTTACCAATATTGTATCTACCAGTTAGAACTGCAACAAAATGTGGCAGTATGGATCTTTTTTTGTTTAGCTCCTCCTCCTCCTCTCTGATATACCATTCCATCCAGACCTGGGTTTTCTCCTCAAGACATAAAGTCATTTTATTTTTGGCTTAGCGAGGCTTCACTGGTAACTAATTGCAAAACAGCAGCAATAAGAACAATTACAGGAGCGAAATATATTCTAGAGCTGCATAATCACCCCTTTAAAGATCAAGCATAAAAAGTGCAATCGGTCAATTCCATAGACAATGACCATTGAATGTAATAAGTTTCATTTAAGATGGGGAACTTTCTGAAGCTCTATATGCAAAGAGACACGAACCAAAAGAGAACAGGAGAGCAACAATCTCAAATTGTCTCTGTTTTCTTGATAAAGACCAAGAGGTTTGGGAGGAGAACCATCTTTCCTAATGGGTTTGCCGTGATAAAATCCAAGGAGAAGTAACAATAAACATACTAGATTAAATGCAGTTGCTAGTCACAGCAAGAGGAGACCCATGGAGTCAGAAGGATTTACATAAGGCTTAATGTTCTTTTTGGTAAGAGGTTCAATCAGTCCGCTCCTGTTGGCGATCACAGTTGGATTGAGGCTATCTGGTAAAGCTATCATTAATTCTTTTATTTTATTCAATGGGACTATGGTATCCATGGGGGATTGGTGTATATACTGAACACTCTGCATTGCATGGTTTCTGGCTCCCTGTAGTGGTATGTTCTCGTAAATACATACTGGCATATATATTATATTTTTTATTTATTATTTTCAGCGAGCAGATAAGTGACTGCATCCGGCCGGGGGGGGGGGGAGTACTGTAGTACTCTTTAATTAATTAAAAAGCTGGGTATACCTTTTAACAATGCTAAAGTCCTCTTGGATCCTCCAGTTGTGCTGGGGAGTGGTTGTGAGTCATTCTGGAACTTTTGGTTACAGGTTAGAATAGATCACCCTATGATTAGCATCCAACCATGGGGAAGATATTTGTTACTGGTTATACTGGAAGGCACTGGGTTTTCCCAGTACCACCACTCCAAGTGTTGTTGGAATTGCTTCCGCGAATCTCACAACCAACACAATGGCCATTCCTTTTTGCCACATCCTCTGGATGCACAGCATAAAAAGCAGCATCCTTTTCCCACCCTGACGGGACAGGCAGAAACCCAGGCTGCACCCACCGGACCTGCAGAAAATACAGCGCCCACAAGAGAGCGAATCTGAGCAACTTGGTCTGTAAAACGCCATCCCCTCTTGCATTTCTTCTCTGCCCTTTCCCACCAATGGCACTCCTCCCTCCTTTTACTCAAAACAAAAACGTCCAGAAATGTCCCGTCCACTGCTTTTTTCTCCATGTGGACTAGGAACTTGGATTTCTTTTTACATGAACACTCAGCCTGGAGTACCAAATTTTTGCAGTAGCCAAGAGTGGCACTCCTCCCTCTTTTTACTCATCCAAAGGGGGTTGAGGGGTGTAAGGGGAATGACAGCCATGCCCTCAGGAAACATCATCCCTTGACGCCCACCTCCCAAATGCATGGAACCCTCATGGCCCATGGGAACAGATCCAGGGCTGAGAAAATCAGAGCAAAGCAGAACAAAAATATCCAGAAATGCTCCGTGTTTTGACCTGCTTTGATTCTGTCAACCCTTCCGTTGTGTGGACAGAATGGAGGCAGAACCAGGATGATGGGCGCAAGGAAAGTTCAGATAATGCTCAGCAGGAAGGGGCTCTGAGAACTGAGACCTCCCCTCAGACTGCCTTTATTCCACCATTGCGTTTTAAGGGATATTGGTCTTTAGCAATCTCCAAATGGC